TGTTTTTTTCCCAACAAAATTCAATACTGTATACCGTCAACAAACATGAGAAAAATTTTACCATTAAAAGTAACATAACAGTAACGAATATAAATAAATTTTGCTCTTATTTAAAATCTAGAAACAGCAACAATCAGCTTAATAAGTAAAAAGCAAATTCTGGGTCCCCAAATCAGATAACTTGTGCTAAACCGAAATCATGCCAATGTAAGGAACTAATGTATCTAGGTTGAGCCTTATTTTTTTTATAAACTTAATATATCTTATTACTTACAGGTTTAAAGAAAGTAATATGACTAATACAACCTAACACAACAAGATACACTCTCCCTGACAAACTGGAAGGTTGACTTTTATGGTCACTGTTGAACAACGTTTGCATCTTCAAATAGTATCTCAATTTGAAATTTGGTACAGAAGCCAAACCATACACTGTCATGGAGCCACAGACTACTAAAAAATAGCACAGAACAATTGGAGAAGATCTATAACCTGCACAAGCCTGAACATTACAAGTGAGACGGGACTGTTGAAAAGTGGAGACACGGTGACCTTGGCTCTTGTACATGTGCATCTGAAATGTGGTTAACTTGAAGTTTGTGGTGTTTGTGCCATGAGATCATCAGAATACTTCTGACTGCCAAAATGTCTTAAACATGGCAAATCATCCGATGTTTGAGGTTCTCACAACGGTGAAGATGCTGACTGTGGTCTTCTGGGTTGAGATGCGATGCGGTCTTGTAGGTGGTTACCAATATTTCAGAGGAACAAACTTCCTCCATCTTCAGTATAATATAGAGATACGATACATCCCTCTGAAATACTGGTAACAACCTGCTGACATCGCAACCCAGAAGACTATAATCAACAGAAAAAATCATTCATCCTGCAAGCCGAGTTGCATACAATGTGTTACACAGCTTACATGTAATTTAGTTAATTGACCTGTATTATACACAGAGCTACGTCCCCCTACCTCCCTCCTGCAACTACTGTTCCTCTTAACAGAAGCTTCATGTTAACAAGTCATTAAAATATATTGCTCATGGCAAGAACAGTAAAAGGAAAAACATTACATTTCATATCCATGATTTACACACTTCGACCATATTTGAAATTTAACACGTTAAATGAACTCCAAACAACAACAAAATTAACAATAATAATTATACACACTCAAAACCTGAGTTATCATCAGGGTAATTGCCTAAAATACATGCATACATGCATACTACCAGAAGGCTGATATTTCACATATCCCATCAACTTTCCCAAAAAGGTGGTACTACAGTCTTCTGTATGCATAGTAAGCTCATCTACAGGCCCTTACTTTGTCCAAATTTGACTGAATTTACAAAATTCTGTATCCATTTAAAATAAAATCAGGCTGAAAACAGCACGTTAACCTTCAACGTCCATGTGCATGGTCCAGCTGGCTGTACGTCACACTAGCACTACCACAACACAGTTAAATTTGGAACTAAAGTCCAGTCAGCAACCCCATAATACGGGCATTCAAATATCCTATTCTGATACAATAACAGTTAATGTTTGTTGGTATGTTATACACCAAATCAAAATCAGTGCAAAAAAATCTCATAATAACATGTACAGTCCATGTCAATAATAGATTTCAATGGCACTCATTAGATTAACAGGAAAAATTTACATAATTCAATAAATCTACATATACAGGAACATGGAACATTAACCTTGTTATCGATCTCTGTGTGTTATGTTTACAAAAGGAACCTAGTGTGTTCTACACTTTAGATGGCACCCCGTCATTGCCATCATATGTCTCGGAAACACTTTTCCTGAATGATCGACAGGACACAGAGGATCTGTTGATAATCCCCATGATTGCCACATTTAACCCCATTTGACTTTTACTTCTGGGGTTTAGTGTACAACACAAAGTCAACAACACTTCCAAGACTTCCTGCAAGAAATTAAACAATCCTTCACAGCCGTCCCAGCAGTAACTGCAGTGGCCATTTGCTCACCACTGACAACTGTGCCACGAAACTAACAGTAGTCATTCTAAACACCTACACTAGGTTTACCAATTCACAGAGTGCCAATGCTGATGTATGTAATAATTTAGTTTATCAAATTTCATTCACTGAATGTATGTATACATCTTTCTGGAACACTCTGTTTTTTGAGAATTACTAAATATATGCACATAAAATTGCATGTATTACATACAAATTCATATAAAATAAATGTTATTAACATTCTACCAAACACGATCCTGTCAAATAATATTTTATCTACTTTCAGTTGATAGTGGTCGAAAGAAATACCTGATGCACTGAAGCCTGATTAATACTGCAATGTCTTTTTTATCCATTTATATGTAGGTACACCTCTTTTGCACAACTGTCAGATTATTTACAGTTTTAAAACTCAAACTTGGCCAAATTTTCAAAGGCAAAAAACTGAATGTAAAGTAATGTCTGCCTTAAATAGCCTATTATAAATAAAAATATCAATAAAATTATGTAGACTTCTTTTAACAGATTACTGCACAGTTCTCAAACTCTGGGCATAAAAATTTATTTTGGTTCTACATCACAGAACATAGGCTATTCTTCATTTATTCATTCTAAATAAGTTCATGTAAGACCTCTATCTCAAACACTTATCTGTGTTTTAAAGATAAAACAGATACAATAACACATTTATAAAAATAGATATATAAATCTAAAACACCAATAAAACACCGACATTTCTAATATGTTGCAAGAGGGAATAAGAATAACTTACAAAATGTTCTGTAAGTTGCACAAAATAGTGATTTATTTTAATAAGCAATGATAAATAATGAAAGCAGATATGTGATTTTTTTTAACTTTGTGGCGAGTGTTGGGTGAAAAAACAGCAACTTCTTAATAAAGGAAATTATAAAAATAACAATACTATCTTGATTATGTTTTGGGAGGAATAATTTTTAGACTGGAAAATCCAAAAGAATAATATTTATTTATTTTTCCCTCAAAAAAAAATATGGGTAAACTTTATACAGTTTAAGCCAGGAAGTCTTTGTTATCAAGTTCAAGTTAAGGAAAGTTCTCATATGTACAATAACAGCTATAACAAGAAATCATCAGTGTGAAGCTTACATATATAAAATGGTAAATATATTTCGGAACAATACAACGTAAGCTGAAGATGTGCAGGCATGATGACTGGTGCAGACATGCCTGTTATAAATTATACAAATTATAAATACAGACACATTTTATATTGTCGTAAATGTCTCAAATAACCTGTAATTACAGTCAATAAAGTGGTAGTTCATCAGACTTGCAGGGATTTGCACATTCATAACCAAAAAGGCACCTGTCTACCTCATTGTCACATTCTCTTCTGTCTGAGCGGTATCTTGGTCAAAACAAATTTTGAAAAGAAAAGCCATCTTTTCAGAAAAACATTACACAAGATTAAGTAGATTCTGTAGCAGGCTACAACATATTTTTGGGTGGACTATCATAATGCATCTTCTGTTAGTGAAAAAAGTTTAAGACTTATTTTGTAGTGGCAGAGGTCAAGAAAAAGTGACAAGGAAGATGTAGGGGCCCACTACAGACAAATGATATCACAAAGCAGGGTGAAAAAATATTTACCATGCAACAATTATGTAATTTTTAGTGTTCAGTATTACGAACAGCAAATAAAAAAATTTGTTAAATAAGATAACTGAGGAATATGTCATCCTTTTTACCTAGCATTTTTAAAAATTTCTTATAAAGTTTCAACAAATTGTCCATGGCAGCCAGCAAAGTAATTAATGGAACTGACTCTAAATTAATAAAGGAATTATATGAACAGATTTCCACCATACCAGTGAAGATATTCGTAACGGTCTTGATGAATAAGTTAAATTCCCAAAACATTCCTCCTTGCACCACTCATAAAATATCAGTGTATCGCATGAGAAAATAAAGATACACATCACCACGCACGAAATAATTAATGTATATACAAATAGGACAACAACCAGAAACATAAAACAACTGAGAGCAATTTAATTAAAATTATACTTACAAAGTAGAGCATGTAGTTAAACCGCCTTCACACGAAATGTAATTGTCACTGAACCTGTAGTAACACTGGACCCTTAATTCCATATACCTGTTTAGGCAGAGATACTAGGGGCTTGCCGTACGACATAAACTCAAAGACATCATAGTAATGAAATCTAACATTACGGAATAACCATTAATGGTATACATGTAATGGATCAGGTAAAGAAATCTCATCTTACAGATGAGCTAAAGTGTGAGGTAAACGATTCTGTTAGTGTTGGATACGACTAGTTCAGCCGGAGGTAGTTCATGGAAGTTCCTTCACAGAGAGTCGTTCCATAGTTCCTCAAATCCACAGAACTCAAGGAATGAATTTGTATTCTGATGATGTGACTTGCAATGTGACCATGCCACATGTAATTAGTAAAATTTACAAGTGTGAATTTGTTTCCTGTCGAATAAAATGTTACAATAACTTGTATTTGTAAATTGTAGTTTATTCTTTTGTGGTATTTTGTCCTCGTAAGATCCTGTTGGTTGTTCAATAACTAGTATAATATTAAAAACTGTATAATTTTGTTTGGTTTAAAATATGTTCAAACTAGTTCGTACTTAATTTCGTATAAATTTCTATTTTGGGGGGCGGTAATCATCAAGCTCCCAGTTATATCAGAAATTGATATTGTTCTTTCGAAATCTTACGGTAAATAACTTTGCTGGAGGATATACACTAGTAACTAATTTTTATTCATTCACAGTCGCATCTGTCGTTTCTCAGTATCACTAATTAAGTGACGTAAATGAAAAAATGAAGGTAAATTAGTGACTATTACGATAAAGAACAATTGAGACAAATGTGATGTTAATACATGAAAATTATCAATATTGTGAGCGCTACAACCTTCCGGAACTGAGTGAAACTGAACTATGCGAGAGTTAGTTCACGTGGTAGAACTCGTTATTTACAGAGAGCGGATCGATCTTTGTTCCGAGGAGGGAATCGTACCTTTGGAATCACTCCATCATGAACTTCCCATCAGTAGATTCAGTTGTATGCACGAAGCGAAAGAAGTAACAAGTCGTGTTCAAGATTTAGAATACAAGAATTGTCTTCTGAAAGACGATACAAATTGTGTGCATACATTGTAGAGTTACGTACGAATGTATGTACTGGAAGGGACTTATAGCAGACAATTATTAATTTTCATACGTATATACTAATATAAAAAAATTGTTAGTACTGCAGGTCGTGTTAGATTTCAATATTTCTGCAGGTGGCAAATTGTTAGTACTGCAGGTCATGTTAGATTTCAATATTTCTGCAGGTGGTTTTGAGTTTGTTTTATGAGTGAGGTTATTTGTATGGACTATGTGGCATTTGTTGGCAACTTAAAGAGAACGTATTATAGCCAGTACGCTTTGTTAAGATAAATGAATTTAATTTTGTTTTTTTATATCAATCCAACGTACCAAAAATTAAATCGCTTCGGGAACTAGTTGACATCGATGATTTTATTTTTCAAAATAATTTAAGGCTCTATTTAGGAAGTGTGAAACACAGCATTGTTTATAATCCACGGTTAACCACTAATTAACTGTTCTTAAAACATTTTAAATTTTAAAAAGCAACTAATGTTTGTATTTTATTTCTATGGGTTCAGGTAAAGCCTTGTTACCCATAAGTAAAACATCATAGCAGCCCATATAATGCATTGTTGTGTGATGAAAGGATCAGGTTTTATTGCAGGCCTTTAAATTGGTAGTGGTGAATTTGTTGAGTCCTAACCAGTCCATCAGTGAACACCTCATTGAGGTACTTCCTGACCAGAGTGGAACAACAAATTGGAAGGATGCTCCATCTTGTTAGAATGGCATGCTAAGGCATTTCTAGGTGGAGCACAAAACTGCTGTCATAATAATTTTGTGTAACTGAAGTTCACTGAGCCATCAAGAAAGAATGTGCTTACTTGTGCCCATATAAAAAATGCTCATTAAAAATAGGACATGCATTCATAACTTGTAGTCAGCTGAGGTGCTTAGTTTCAACTCTTTTTTTTTGGTCTTATCACCATATCAAAATAAAATATTCAAGACTTGTAACCCACAATTTACTCTATTAATTTATCATATCATATTCAGTAAATACTTACATTTTAAATACTGGCATACTTTTCATGGATACTGTATGATACATAAACCATTACATGTTTTTCAGATGTTTGTTTATACTTCATATTTACATATTTCCATAGTTACAACATGAAGCCCAATCACAATAAAGCCCCAAGTAAATTTAGTAGTGAAGAGTTCAGTGGTTTCTTCATGTGCGCGCTGGATTTAGCACTTGAACACAACAACGTTAAGACTTCACGGATGAACTACATAATATATGGATTTATATAAGAGTGAATCCAGTTTATATCATCTTACTTGTGACTTCTGTTGCAGGGATGTATGAAAACCTTGAAGCTGCCACAGTAAGAAACAGAATGTTGAAGATACCTTTAGTGATGGATGAGAGTAAACAGTGTAATAAATCTAATCCCCAATTAGGGTTAGATGAAGCGTGTTTAGAAGTGATATCATCAGCTACTAATCCTATTAGCCTTTGGGCTCAGTCAGAAGAATGTGAAATGGTAAATTTACTTACGTGCTGTTTGTAAAGAAATAATCATGGAGAAAAACATTCACTCTATCCTATAATAAAACATATAGTTTGCCAGTTACTTTAACTCTGTGGGACATGTGTCGTTCTAGAAAATTAGGTGTATCAAATTTTACATTTGTCGAAGCAATATTGTTATGCTGTGATTAGTTTTTCGGCACAGAGGGCTGTCAACAAATTTACTGAACAGATGTAGCCAGGTTTTTTCTTTTGACACGTGTGTTAAAGACTAGTGCAGACGCACTTTAACGCATGCCATCACGTGAACACCATCAAGACAAAGGTGCAGCATGTGCACTGGAAGGAAATGTAGCGTCTGATGTGTAGTCCAATACCTCTCTCTGCGATTTCCACATCTTTGGGCCACTAAACCAGATTCAAGTCATGCTCGAGTGAATCAAGCTGTCGACGATTTATTTCAATGCCTTCAAAATTTTCCGAGGTATCTGACGCTCGTGACCCAGTGGGGCGCACGTGCGAATGTGAGCAGTGGCGCGGAGTGAGCTCAATAGATATTGAACCTGGCCACGTTTATACCGAACCACTGGCATAGTTACCAAAAAAAATAAATTCTTTTTTTAATGTTAAGTTTTGTGTTGAGCTTTGGTTGTCTGACCATTCTTTTTTTGTCTTCTTTACAGTGTGACTTTATTGAAGTTGCAAGGATACCAGCAAATAACACTGTGCCACTACTGTTAACTACAACATTTCCTATAGACATTTATTTAAAAAACAATCATTCCACGTACTGTTAGTAAGTATATACTTGTGATACAGATTTAGATGGTAGCTGTTACAAAGGCATCGTGAAAATTAATGCCTCATAATTTTTACTCCCACAATGGGAATAAATATTTCATTGAAACAACAACAGGACTTTCCTTGAACTTTATTCTATAATTTTACACAATCATTTCGTGATATAATCACATCCTTAACAAGTCTTCATGTCCGTCATGATAAAACTGCGTCTCCTACGGACGGAACTACGATTTTGCTGATTTGTGACTTCGCTGTTTGACAAGCGACGCCCTCTCAGATGTTTGTTTAGTTTTGGGGAAAGATATGATAGAGCCCTAGGAGAGAAGACGATGATGAGCTTAAAAATCTGTACTCCTCCCCCGGTATTGTCAAGGTGATTAAGTCGAGAAGAATGAGATGGGCGGGGCATGTAGCGCGCATGGATGGGACAAGAGGTGTGCACCGGGTGTAATTCAGAGATCTGTAGTTGCAAAACTAAGAGACTACACACTAAAATGTGGGCTAATACAGTATTTAAGCTTTCATCTATATAGAATGGGAGTTCGTTTAGCCTGTGTTATTTGAACACTAATTCCAAGTTTAAACACGTGTTTTGCGCCACACTTTCTGTGATGTAATAGTTAACAGAAGGGAACCCTGTTTTCTTAAGAATAATGAAGATAATATCCCATTTGCCTGGAGTATGGATTCATTTTAACAATAAAATGAATTCTTAGAGCCGTATGACATCTGAATTCATTTCAAATTGCGTTTCGGTCATGTGATGGTGCCAAAAACTTGATGAAATTTTGCACATGGAAGTAGCTGTCCAAGCATGAATAAACTTTGGATACCAAGTAATTTTAACTTATAAACACAATTCGTCTTTGTTACTTCTGCAGATTAAAATACCTATTCTATATTTTATTTTCAGTGAGAAATACAAATTTGAAGAACATGGAATATATGCCTGGGATGTCACAGGAGACAGTTGCTCTGGAGTTCGTATAATTCAGAACCCCGATATATCTTATATTTGTACGTATAACATTTAAAGTTATGGTGATAGTCGGTGCATGAGATGTCGACATTAAATATCCAGGATTGATTATTTGGTGATATAACTGTAACCGAAAACAGACCATTACATCCCCTTCAAAGTAGCGTCCTCCTGATGATATGCAGTGATGCTAGTAGTACAATTTTTCTTTGAAGTCGGCGTTCGACTCGTGCGTTGTTCTTTGTATTACGATCTCTGGTATTTCCAAAAATGTCTTCTGTTTTATCATTCTTTTCAGCCCAAGAAAAATAAGTCACATTTAGTAAATGCAGTGGTTGGAATGTGCATGACCAGCACAGGACGTGACTTCTCGTCCTCGCATCTTGCGTTCAGATCGTCCAGCATGTGTCATTGGAGATGCCAGTTAGACGTAACTTCACGAATCCTTATTCTCCTGTTATCGTGAATTGCTCTGCCTTTGATGATTGATTGCTCACTGTATGTTGTCAGTGGACGACTGAATCGGGCATCGTCTCCCTTCGAAGTCTGGCCAGCTTCAAAAGGAGCAAATGAATAAAAGTTTTTTGAATGACTGGATTGTCTTATTAGCACTCCATTTTCTTGTTGAACAAACCACATGTTGCACCTCCATGTTAAAAGCTTTACTGTACTTCACGTTCAGTAAATATATGTGTATAAATGTATAAATTGCATGTGTTTCATGACACAAAATGGCCACTTGCTACGAGAGGAGTGAAGTCGGCTACAGTTACCACCTACGCTGCTTGTTTAATGTCCCCTCAAAGCAGTTCAGTCCTGGTACTTCTGTTGACTAGTATTAAGTAATTTTTTGTACATGTCAGTAAGTTTTAAATATAATAGCTCGGTAGACGTGTCTGAAGGCCCTACACTCACAAAATCTCTCATATCGTTTGAAAATAAATTTTTATGGCGTGGAAAAAGATCACCATTCATATATATTCTTCTGTTAATTTATTACTAGTATACATGGAATATCCTACAAAGAGAATTTATGCTATCAAGATCTTCGTCACATTTCTGCACACGTGAATTATTGGTGCAAGAAGTAAATTTTACTGCTGTAATATAGTTTTGCCTGTTTGTAGCGTAGTTCAATTTTTTTTTTTTCCCTTTAGTATTACAAGTAATTTTATTTTCAGCTATTGTGGTTGCTTTCTTCATATATCTGGCTGCTTTCCTATTGTGGATGACTGGAAAACTTATATATTCCTCAGATTGGTTAACACAAATTAGAGTACGAAGATCTCCATTTTCAGAGTTGGAAAGTGTAAGTATAACAAACACCCTTTTACTTTTATGTAAGATTTTCCTGCGCCGTCTTTTCACGTGAATCCTCTACTCCTTCAAAGTGGAACAGATATCTGTTTCCGAGTCAAATTTGAGGAATGTCAGTTCGGAACGTATTTTCAAAATTCTTATCAGAACGGTGAGAATATATAGTGCACAAATGTGTAGCGTTTCTCAAGAAAGATAAGAAGGAAGGAATTTTGTTATACCAAAGAAAGGGGCCCATAAAATCTGGGTTCAACTACAACTAATTTCTGTGATGCAAAGGCACTGTCTGTTACAGGGTGTTTATTTTGGATTTGTATGTAAAAAGAAAATGTTATTCTTAAAAAATAACTTATTACTGATGGTGATAAGTATAACCATTTATATATCGAGTGTACCTTTTGGTTCAAATGTTTGTTAAAAACAGTACACTAAGAAACAAAATGCACTTCCCCTAAAAGAACATGTCATCATTAAAATTTGGTACAGGTTTAAGTGCGAGTGCAACAACTAAGAATGTTCCGAGTTTTTGTCTCTTTCGTTTAGGATTTAGGAAGTCCTAGTTCAACAGACGGTCCACCATTAATAAGATCAGAGGTTGCAAGGCTGAGAGGACGAGTGAAGTCACTTGATGTCTTTCGAGGGTGAGATTATTTCTCTTAATATACATGGTCTGTAAGTGCCAGAATAAAAATTAAATTAAATTAAAATTGTGACGCAAGTGTGAACGTGTATGTTTTCCTTCCTCTAGAAATACAGTTCATGGATTCAGTGTTACGTCGTAGACTTAGAGCGTACAACAAGAACCAACGTGTTATCTGCATTTTAACGTAAACACTTCAGAGCTCATTACGTTTATACATAATACCATATATTCAACCTGTCACTTAATTACAAATTAAAACAAGAAAATATATAACTACATCTTTGTTATAGCGAGGATCTTGGATTTTAATGTTATGAGTTAACGTTCCGTTACAGGATTTCAATTTCATTAATGATATTTGTCAACTATGGTGGAGGTCATTACTGGTTTTTCAAACACACTCCATGGAATGGTCTGACCGTCGCTGATCTGGTTTTTCCGTGGTAAGTAACTTTTTCTCGGATATTAGTGGCGACTAATCTGTCGTCTTGAAATGACAACTTGCGTCAGTAGACAACTGAAATTCTGCAACCTTGAATCTGCATAGTGGTGCAAGCATTATTTCTTATTTTTCTTCTCTGTACATTGGTACACATCTGTGATCATCTTGTGTATTGGTAATACATCTGAGCGATATGAGATCTCCCTTATTTGCTGTTATATGTCAACCCCTTAAATACAGGCGGTGAAGATTTTACTTGATTTCAATATCTCCAATAGTGTATTGAATTTCATTCTGTACCTCATGCTATATCAAACCAAATTCTTTGTTTTATGTACCGTAACCTTGAAAAAACTCTGCTGGGGTTTTCTCAGCATCTTGGAATAGGGGAGCAAATTTCTTGGTTTATGAAAGGTTTTATTTTACCTATAAAGGATCGTTTCATTGATTCTGTGTATGAATTGCATATCTCATGACGAATTAGTGAAAGTACTTTGCCTTAATGCGCCTTTAACTTTGAATTTTTCACTTTTATTAACTGCCCAAGAAAGTGTACTGTTGTCCCTTGACATAAATAAGACACATTTCATACTATTGTCAGCGGGAGGTACTAGGCGTTTCTGTCGTTAATATCCTCTAAATGTTAAGTTAATAAGAGTCGATTCCTACCCTCACATTTTTGACAACTCTAATTGAGTGACTCATAGTTTTGATATATTTTTCTTTGCTTTGATTTTATTAAGAAATTCCACTATTCACAAGCCCAAATTTTGAATGAAATGGTAGTCCAGACAGTCAGATTTTATAGGTATCATCGTTATATTTTCTTTGCATATACGGGCAAATTATTTTTCTTCGAATATTGAAGACAGAACGACCAGTTTAAAATCTGAGATTGTAAGTATGTGCTCATGCCCCATATATGGCTTACTTCGGAATTCTATTTTTTGGCCAGTTTGTATTTTAACATTAAGCCCTGTATTAACTGACAGCTGTACAATTTGGAGACTGACCTGAAGGTATTATTGGCTTTCAGGTTTCTCTGGATCATGGGCGCAAGCATGGCCATCTCCCTTCGTTCATATTTACGCAGCTGTATCTCACGTAAACGTCTCTTCTTAAGAGTGCTGCTGAGGTCCGTCACACTTGTGGCACTGGGTGTGATACTCAATTCTAGCGGAAACAAGAAAAACAGCATCACGAATTTGAGGCTGCCCGGTGTACTTCAACGGATAGGACTTGCGTATTTTGTTGTTGCATCCCTTGAAACTGTGTTCATGAAGCCTCAGGGTTCCTTCGAGGTACAGAGATGTATAATTACTGCTCGTAATGTTAACGAAGACAAGTTGCGCACCTCGAGATCCAAGTAGTAATTAAGTTCATGATGTAATTGAATTTGCATTACCCAGAAAGTTGCGTTAATTAACTTGAGTCCAAGAGAATGAGAATGAGGAGCTGCTAAAACACAATAAATATTTCAATGAAACGTTATGCTTTTATTTAAAGTGTATCTCGGTATGGTATTTAACAAAGTAGACAGAAAAATATGCAGCATGATAAATGTTACAATAGATGAACACCAGGGCCAAAAGAATGGATTTATAAATTGTACATTTTTACATTTTCTGATGTGCTTTGTTGCTTTTGCAGTACGGTAATTGGTTGGTGGTTCAAGACTTGCTGGAGAGCTGGGTTCAGTGGCTTATAATACTTGCTCTCACTATAACGCACATCCTTCTGACATTTATGATGCCTGTTCCCAACTGTCCGACTGGATATCTGGGACCTGGTGGGCTCCATAATCACAGTTCCAGTCCCAATTGTACTGGCGGAGCTGCCGGGTACATTGACAGAATGGTGTTTGGAGAACGTCACATCTACCAGCATCCAACCTGCCGGCCTGTGTACGAGACTGTGATACCTTATGATCCAGAAGGTATTCTGACCTTCAGCAGCAGTTCAAGGAATGAACCTTAACTTTTGGAGCTCTGTTACTACTACTGACTACAAATTTTGAAAATTTCGAATTTTTGCACTATAAAGTTATGTCATTTTGTGTGGGGATTGACAGTTTAGGATTTTGAGTTGTAAAGGATTGAATTAATCAGTTTTACTTATTCAATGAAATTAATAAGAATATAAGCAAATTATCGGTATAAAAAGAAAATTGTATACATTTTGGAAACAGATTTTGACTACATAAATTTGAGGTTAATTTATTTTGATTATGTAGCATCAAATGAAGGATAGAATCAATGAATCTGGAAGTTGGCAGGGCTGAAACAAAAGCACAGACGACATGGCCATCATTGTATGAAAAAACACTGTAAATTATGGATATTTGTATATTGAAAAAAAAAAACCATGGAAAATTGGTGTAGTTTTAGGATTGAATAGAAACTGTGAATTCATGATTTAATTTTTCTTCTTTGTTCAGGCCTCCTTGGTACTCTGACTTCAATTCTCCTCGTGTACTTGGGTGTCCAAGCTGGAAGAATTATACTGTGTTACCACTACACGTCTTCACGCATTGCCAGATGGGCTTTGTGGGCCTTTAACGTGGTTAGTGAAAACTGAAGACCTGGAAGGTTACAGGCTTTCCAACTTTTTTGGGTGCCGTCTTAAATTATAATAGTATAATATGTTAAAATGTGCCGTAAAACATTAAGTGCGTGCGCACACAATATTATGAAATTTTGTTGCAGGGACTCATTGCTGGAATACTGTGCGACTTCACAAAGAATGATGGGGTCGTTCCGGTGAATAAGAACTTGTGGTCGCTCTCATCTTGCTGGAATACTGTGCGACTTCTCAAAGAATGATGGAGTCGTTCCAGTGAATAAGAACTTGTGGTCGCTCTCATTTGTTTTGGGTGTTGCGAGCACAGCTTTTTTGCTTCAGAGTTTTCTGTATTTCATTGTGGATGCTAAAAACTGGTGGTCTGGTAGTCCATTTCATTATGCGGGTAAGTGTGGTTAAAAACATTATTTATAAATCTGAAGTAAATACTAACCAATATTCTGAACGTGCTTCATTGACTTAAATGACATTATCGTGAACTGGTAAGAATTTGCATAAATAATTTAAAAATTCGGACGGTGAAAACCTCCGTTTGCAATCTCTGTGCGTTCAGTAATTTTGAACCTGAATCCGATTACTTCATTAGAAGCAAAACCTCTGATTTGAGAGAACTGAACGTGGAATATAATAAGTTTGATACCAAATGAAGATGAGAGAGAGGTTTAATTTACGTATCTTTTTATGAAAAGCCGCTATAGCAAAATTCTTTCTGGCTTAAAGGTTATATATAACATTCCCATCATCAGCAGGTAAGTTTTTTTGAAAACCACAAAAAGTTCGATGTTCTTTTGGGTCGCGAAGCTGAAGTCGACGTTTATCCGAAACTTTGGCGTCTACCTACGAGTCCGCGTGTCATCACGGCCCGGAACAACAGCATCATTCTCGTCACTGTCAGAACATAAGATCTCGCACAAAAAGTTTTTACTGCATTTTAATTTTTTGCATCTTTTACTTTAAATGTTGATTTATAGGTATGAATTCCATCGTCTTGTATATCGGACATGAAGTTACAAAAAATCTGTTTCCGTGGAGTTGGCAGCCGTACTACCGTTCTCATGAAGAATACCTTGCAATGAACTTATGGGGAACAACATTATGGATGCTCATTGCTTTTGTTCTCTACAAGAAAAATGTGTTCGTAACAGTGTGAACTGCGTGGCGATGGAAGTGCAAGAAAACTTCGCTTTGCGAACATGAAATCATTCGCTAATTAATATTCTTTGAAACTGGGGTTTCTTATGAACAAATAGACTGATATAGACTGTATTTTGTATTCATACTTTATACCATTTTGTAAATGACAATAACTCTATTTTCCCATGTGATAACAGTATTTATAGATAATTTAAGTCACGAGTGTTATAGATATGAAAATATAACATGATTTACGTAGTCATTGGTGGTGGATGTTCTAGTTTGCTGTAAAAACAAACTTGTAATTATTAAAAAATATTGAACATTAATTATATTTATAAAAAGTTGATATCATGCTTCAAGGGTCCTGTTATTGATTAATAAACTGACAACCAGAGGCATAGGCCTTTAGCTTTTGTTGACGACAGGGTTCAGTTAAGTTCCGCAACTTCAGGTACTTGAAGATTTAAAAATTGGTACAGAAAATACTTTTGAAATTCAGAGTGAGTAACTGTGTGCGTCTGACATTCATTTTCAAGGAGAATTCTGTGGTTCCTTGGGCCTACGTGATTGGATATTTACCACGAGAAATGAATATCAAGGTTCAGACGAAATCAGGTAAACGGTGTTTCTGTAAACAGGGTATAAACAAATACATTTACTGCGAGATCTTGTCTAGTCATAAAATACTGAACACTGGTCGAGTGATTAGCACTTTCATGTGGAGGTCACGGGTTCAAATTTCAGCTTTATGCAAGGTATAATTTTAAAGATATGGCATGCACGTAAGAGTTCTACATACCAGAATGGGTCCAGGAAAGCCCCCTTTCTGGTCTTCATCCTTCTGTTTCTTCTTTGTATGCTTGGAGAGATGACAGGCAGCAGAGGAGAGGGGGGCACGATGTCGTAGCTGTACAATCAGATAAACTGTGTAGAAACATTTAAAAATCATACCTTAATATGCTTCCTGAAATATCTATCGCCATTATACTTATTAAAAACCATGAACAAAAGTTTATGTTCATGTAGTTTTTGACTGTGGTAAGCCTTAAGCCACAAAAAAGAAAGAACACTAATGTTTTAACTTTTACAAAATTTTAAAAAATCAGATACTAATACACTGCATTTGTTGATAAAGCAAAATTTAATTGTCACTGCCTGCTAACAGTATCTACTAAAATTACTCGCGCAACAGCACGACGGTCATGAGGGCCATGGTTTGGTATACTGTCGGAAAGTGACATTGAAAATATCTTAATTTCCCAGTATAACAATTCCAAGCACAACGGGCACCCATGAACTTTAAAATAAAGTCAGGTTTCGTGGTTCACTTCTGGACAAGAAACCTGAAGAAAAATTTGATAAAGTAATCAATTACATGCCCTGCACACGAGTCTGACATCTTGAAACTTTCAGCATCCAAGCGATATCCACCCATTTAAATGGTATACAGAAAGTGTGCATGTACAGGGACATCATTTTCATCTCCTCTTTTAAAAAGGTAAGTTGATTCTATTGTTTTCAAGGAGCAATATCTGACTTGTACTCGGATCAGGGAAGAGACAGTTGCATTCAGATTTATCATTGATCAGAATGCACTTAAAATGAAGTGCGTCACTGAATTTCACAATTCTGCCAAATTGGGATAATCAGGAAGGACGCTGGATTGACAATGTGAACGGAAGATTGCAGTCTTCTGGGTTGTAGCACGTTGTAGTCTAGCAGAAGTTTACCGAAATCCATCGTCCATCAGCAAGGACCTCTGAAACGTCAGTAAACTTCTACCAGAATACAGAAATCTTCAGACTCACTGCCATGAAAACCTAAAACTTATATTTTCTTGGGCTCTTATGTGAAGGTTTATAACATTTTTTTATGACAAAAGTAATTTAATCCCACCACTTGATATCAAATTTACTGTTTGAGTTTTCTGTAAATATTTTATGTATTAGACCACAGAACTGTAATTAATATATAAAATTATATTATGTATCTGGGAACCCAAGTTTGGGTATAAAAATCAACCCATTAATAGAGAATTTTACATTAGTCTCGTCAGTCAATTTCTTAGCTGCATATCTTATTTGTAAATCATATGAACTGAGAAGTGGGTTTATAACCTGCAAAATTGGTTGCTGTCCTAATACCTTTTCAATTCATCATTTACAATCACATCATTCAAACCAGGCAACAAAGTAGTGAATGAAAACGTGTTATATTTAATAAACTACTATATTAACCTACACATACTTTTTAGGTTAATAAATGGAGTTCTGACATTTCATATTTTACATTTACTTATCTCCAACTTGCAGAAATTGTAAATTCACAGGCGGCCAATAATAACTGTGAACCAATTTAGTCAAGTTTTCAGTTTAAAATATGGAAACTAAAAATTACAGAAAATATGTTATTCAAAAAAGACTGAGCTATGCAATCTGTGCACAAAAGCGTAGTCAGTGTGTTCTGGAACATTACACGAGTCTTTTTCTATGGTAAGACAGAAAAATCAGAATGTATTATTCAGAGTGAAGTGGAACTGTGGGAGGAAGCCTTGGTTTTATTGATTATTACTACGGTAACCTTTCTTTTCTGCCCATGCTTGTCCCCACCATGTTTCAAGGTCACATGAATTATATGTGCTTTGATTCCCAGTTGACCTAAGGCACATGCACTGTCCAGTGAGTGGGATTTGTTCTGCAGGGTAGAACATGCTGTAGCTTGTGTTCGAGGTGATCGGTAGAGATATTCATTCAGAACAATTATTTCAGGTCTGTGTTAAATATATGAGGTACATTATCAACATATTTGTATTTTATACTGATATGAGCATTACTTTCATGTACAGAGCTAGCTTTATTTATGTCTCATGTTATGAGACGCGATTATGTAAACTGCTGGAGTGTCCTGAAGGATTAATATTGGGCAATGTTTTACCTAAATATATTTTATAACATAAAATACTGAATCACAATAAACTTAAAGTCAGTGAAGCAGAGCTAATGTTTACAATTTCATATTTCTAAAAGCTTTTACTATTTTTATTTAAATCAATGTTGAAGAACAGTTCTTAGTAGCACAGAAACTTAAAAATAAACTGACAATTGATCTTGATTCTTGTATTCTTGCACTTATGGATTCCTGTATCTAAAATATAATATAATAACAATCATATCCAATAGATATAATAAATATACAGATAATATATGCAGCCTGGATGAATATTACTGCAGATAAATTCTTGTGGGGCAAAATCCAAAAATACTGAAATTACAGTATCTCAAAATACTTTCCTCTCATTAAATTGGCTGTAATGGATTATATAACATTGCAAGTTCTCAAATTTTATAATTTTGATAAAATGAACTTACAGATATACTGACTGTTTAATTCATAGACTCTGTAGCATTAATTCTGCATAAATGAAGTATTCATGCTGAAAATTAACTTCATTCCTTACCCTTTACTGTCCTATGTAAAAACAGTGAGCCAAAAATTGTAGTAATGATTCTGAAGGGTTGTAATAACAATTCCTACTATTTTTCATGGACGTTTGTACAAATTGTTGGGTATTCTGTTTGCAGTGTGTAAAAATTTAAACTTCTCACTCAGAAGTTTATCTGACCCCCCCCCCCCCCCAAAAAAAATCAAGGTCAGAACAAAAAGCATGGAGGCTGACGGTATAGACGCAGAAATTACGACAAAGCCAGATAAATCTGTGCAGAGGACTTTGGCAATAATTAAACCTGAAGCTCTACCATATGCTGATGAAATTGAAGAAAAAATTAAGGAAGAAGACTACAAAATCATTCAGGTACAGGAGCCATAACGTAATAGTTTCAGAATTGTAATTATGAGCATGTGAAGAGTCACAGAATATTTGAAAATGCTGTCAAGATGAATACAAGGGAAATTCTTAAATTTAACACCTTTCCTTGGATGCATAAAGTGAAGCTTTTGCGGCGACTGAAGTTGATGAAAGACTCTGCCAGAAGATACGATTTATTCACCATTCAGTCACCTGACGCGGCTGGTAACCCGAGAGTCTTTCATCAACTTTCTTCGGAATTTGTTAACACATACAGACGACCTTCAATGATTGTAAGTTGAAACATCAATTGAAAATCTCCAAATATTTAATGATAGGACAAATGTTAAATAAAAAATGTTGCAACCATTAAAAAATTTGATTACACGAAAGCTATAAAATACTTCACTGATCAACTTTCTAATTTGATATTATATAAATTCAGCAGCTGAAACAGCCGAAACTAGGGCTTCCATTACAGCAGCGAAGTTCTAATCTTTTATTAACATTTTATGACTTCTACATTGTGCTTTAAGGCCCAACATTGGTAACTGCTTTGTTATTATTTTACGTTGCACAGCAAAGATATGAATGTAATAATATTACTACATGAGACAAAATAGCACATAAGTAAAGTGTCCTGACATTCTTGCTTCTTCCACTCTGACAGAAGAGAACAGCGACTCTGACCAGAGGCCAAGCGGCCGAGTTTTATAGTAAGCAGTACGGCAGTCCTGAATTTCCAGGGCTTGTGGCAGATATATCTAGTGGCCCAATCATCGTCATGTGCCTCTCCAAGAAAAATGCAATTGAAGACTGGATTAACCTGATTTGTCCACCTAATGTACCTGAAGCCCGTCCCTTATTTCCGGCTTCTCTCGAAGCTAAGTACGGGGAGCCCAAAGAAGATACATTTAATGGGCTTCATGGAAGTAAGGATGAAGAAATAGCTGAGAAAGAAATACGTTTCTTTTTCCCGGAAAGTAAGTTGGACAAAACCCCGGATGTATAAGCCAGTCTTACTACCAAACAACTGGTCACATGGCACAATGTCAATTTCCAGTTCCAGTATTTTTTAGCATGCTTGAAGCATAACCGTTCTATAGACAGATAAAGATAAGGCGATACATCAATTATTTATGATAAAACCACAACAAAACAGCGAGACCAGACCAAATCTCACAGTTGCTATTCAATTGTAAATAACCAGTTTTGTGAAGTGTATTTATTTTACTTGAAGAGAATTTGTTCATTTAAAGTGGAACTATGCTATGGTAGTTCCCTGTAAAAAGACTAATGTAAATGTAAGATGTAAAGAGTTTAAACAATTCATAATTTAGTAAAACTGACATATTTAGAAGTGAAATGGACACAGAATATACCAAGCACGTTCCGCTGTTTGCATGTCACTGCTTACACGTGATTCAGCTGGCTACGCAGCGCACTAACATTCTTTTAAGAAACAAACAAAAGTAATTTAGTTCACATTTTACTTCTAGTCTCGTAGTCCAGTACTTTCAACTTTTGCCCACTGATGTTGATTTTAACGTTGCATTCAAGAGTTTCCTCAGCACCATCTGTATAGCATGTATTTAATTTCAGTGATTATGGAACCCCTGTTGACTGGAGAATCATTGACAGATTACTTAGCGGAGAGTGTGAATCCTACTCTACTGGAAGGATTGGTCCAGCTATGTAAAGTGAAGCCTGTTGACCCTGTAGTGTGGCTTGCTGATTGGCTACTGATAAACAATCCCAACAAACCTCAAGCAGACGAGATAACTGCGACAACTCCAACATAATATAAATTTCTTTTTTTAGTAGTCTCATATATATTTATATTGTAGTGTAGCACATTGAATTTAGATTACATATTTTATGTACGAAAAAGCAAATTCCTGCAAAAGATTATAAAATAAAATTCAACACAAGTATGAAACACGTTTCATATTCTGATATGGAAGAAGTAAATGGGATTATAGGAAAAGGGGCATTTTTTGGGACAAGGGCTAACAGAAGAACATATTCGATGTTTCATGTATACTAAGAAATCCAATCACCTCTAGGTTAAATAATTTCAAATGCTGCAATTTTTTATAAATTGGAGCAAAGCGCTCCTTTCGTCTATCAAGGTCATTCGGCAAAAAAGTGTAACGAAGACAGGTCACAAAAATGTGTAAGATCAATATCAACAAATCGACAATGGTTACCTAGGAAACGTCATCTGTTTACTCGGCATACAATGAAAGGAAGGGGTTAAAACACTTGACACTTGCGTTTTAAAATCTTGAGTAAGAGACTAAACTAACCCCCCCAAATGGGGGGTTAGTTTAGTGTCTTACTCAAGTGTTTTAACCCCCTTCCTTTCATTGTATTTATTGCCTAAATATAATTTAAATACAGAGACGTCAGTTTTCGTAATCGTAATATATCGAATGAGTAGTATTATTAGTATCAGTTTACCTTGTTGGTGTTGGCACTTCAAATAGTTGATAACGTCTTCTTTCACTTTTCTTCATTTCTTAAATAGTTCTGATGTCTTGGTAGTTGGTGATCTCGTAGCTGTGGAGCGTTATTTGTTTACTCGGCATCGTTGTGTTGGTATACCAACGTAACGTAACATTGTTTGATGACGTCATTTTTTGATAGACGACAAATCACAAATTTTTATAGTAGACTCCTTCCTCATCCCACTGTAAATTTTTACTTGTACTTGTATAAGGTTGATGTTACTTGTTGCATAAATAAATATTTTTATGTAAGCTACGTACAAAATGTTACTTTGTTTTATAAAGTTCATAGAGCGAGAATTGCAATATATTTTTGATACACAGCCTGGTATCCATACTGAACTACTCAGTACATATGACAAAAAAGTAAGGCTGCAGTGTACTGTGGCTTCGTACGTCCTATATTTTTTCCTGTAAGAATTACGGAGACAAAGTGCAATATCGGCATTAACCTGGAGGAACTTTGAAAAGCTATGAAAATCTCTGGTTACGACAGCACTGTGAAACACACTACTATGTAATTAACAGTTATGATATAGAATTATGGAATAAAAATCAAATATTGTAACAATGGCATAAAGCCACTTCACAATTCAAATATGCTAAATCTGATTTTAATAATTTTGTCTAATACATTACCAAGTTTGGTTAATCATGCTCTGTTTCATAGCAAATACAAAATGTCCGATGTGTGATATTTTTTCCATACTCATGTTTTTAAAAAATGTTTCAAATGTCTCGTTCTCTGAAAGGATTTGTCGAAAGCAATTACGTATTCTCGATACTCACGGTAAAAATGTATATAAAAGAGATTTATTTAATGGCTCTAAAACTGTACCAATTTCTTTGAATATTAACAGAACAATAATTATATAAAATATATAATCCATAAGGAATTACATTAACTTAAAACTTAAAACACTTATAAGAAGAATACTGGAACGGATACACATTTTCACCTATCCGGTAAAGGAACATCCTTGATTATAAGCTTGTAGTGTCTGTATTATTTTCACAGGCGTTAAAGTAAATGTTGCTGCTTTTTAATAACAATCTGAACTAACAAATGAAATCTGTTACAAACGGTATTATTATTTCACATCAATGCTATTTAAAAATAAAGTTCATCAATTAACATCCCTCTCTGTTACGGCAGCAGGAAATTACTTAATTTAAGATTCATCCAGCAACCAATAAGTCTCTTCACAATAATTTCTTACACATGCACGCACAACACATAAATAACATAAAACACAAGATTAGTAACAATTTAGACTCATTATGAACCGTGCTATGTCTGGTTGGGAAGGGAGAGTCAAATCACAACTCACTACTGCTTGAAGCAATGTACGTCAAATACTGAGTCATAACAGTGAACAAATAACACTAAAACATTAATTTTATCCACAAACCAAACAGGTCACCTGTATATTATACCATAATTATTAAATTTTCTAGGAAAGGACACTCTAGCTGAAATTCCGCATTAATATCACAGATCCATTGCGTTCCTTGTGAAATAAAATCATCACGTGATAAAACACGAAGACGGGAATTAAGGCGGGGCATCCCTTTCCGAGCTTCGTGATGACAATGAAACTTTTGGTTCTTTTGAAGTTCGAAGATCTGCATTCGATCAATTTTAATTTATTTGTTGATGTGATTATTCAATATGCAAACAACGAACAACAGCCTTAAACTTAAATAAATGGGGCATGACTTCAGATTAACAGATTTCAAAAGGAATAAACCACTTTTCTCGCTGTGACACATCCTACATCCACCTGCCTTCATTTGTTTGTTTAAATCTAGTAACAGGAAAATTAAATAAAAATTTGTCGTGAACGGCTGGTGATATAATAAATAAGGCATTCTTACAGTTGTCGGATTGTGCTGAGCAGATTCTGTTGCACCTTCAACTACAACTCATCATGGTGCGTCGCATGAAACTCCTTGAATGCCGCATGATGTTTCACATGTTTAGCTCCTATGGCAACAAGTCTAAGAAATTCATCGACATCAAACGCATAGTTAGTGAACTTAGCATGAGCTCCTCCTTCAGGATGATGACCCTGAAACAAAATACACTTTGAAAGCATACTGGCAAAAATATATTTTACTATTTTAACTATACAAGTTAATGCTTCTGGAAGGCAGGGTTTATGGAGAAGCAAATGCATTTCAAATTTCACACTTTTTTCAAACCTTACAAGTGTTTGATTTGACTTTTCAGTTTGAATAAATAATATTTTTAATATTTTACGTCAAATCACAATTTTTAATAAGATGATAAAATAAAACAATACCTTCGTTCTAATATATAAGAGTAATCTGATAAGAACATCTTCAATAAACTGCATAACATTGTAAAAGGATTGTAATTTGAGTTTTAAAATTTACCAATCTAATTTATACCTGAGGACGGTTAAATATAAGCGAAACATGTCATAAGAGAACGTTCCAATTTGTAAATCTATCATTCGATGTGGAACGTGAAATGATATTTTAAATATTTTATATTTTATCATCTTATTAAAAATTGTGATTTGACGGAAAATATTAAAATATTAACTTAATTCACAATATGACGCAAATATACTACCTTTGAATAAATAAATATATATATCTCATCAGGGTTCTGATCATCAGAACCCTGATGATGGGAACAAAGTTGGTTCCCGAAACGTCGGTTTACTACGGTAACCAGTTGACGCGGCTGATTGCCCGAGAAGATTTTATTGATCATGGTACAGCAATGAAACTGCAGTTACCCAAAGCAACGAATAATCTGCCAACTAAGCACAAAGCAAATGAAAAAAGGGAAGACGCCAAGGAAGCCCTGTGCAGCGCAATGGAAATCCTGGACTATGAAGATGACATCTTCCGCAATGTTACACCACGTACCAATCACCCTCATAATGGAGGCTGCAAGCACATCTGAAATGTTGGTAAACTTCTACCAGACAACACAGTGAAACATCACAGAAGACAGCCATCTTCATATTCACCACTATAAGAACATGACATCTCATCCTTGACTTTGTAACCACGTCTTGGAAGGATTCATCAATGACGACAACATTTTTCATTACGATAAAGTTTAGTAATTAAATTTTAAGGTAATGTTTATTCTAATGCAAGGCATACCGCACCTTCAATGATAAACATGTACTTTAGTTAATATAAACTTGTTTGCCAAGACATTAATTTTATATTTCTACGTAATTACGCAGTATTCTAAACTCTCGTAAATCACTTACACAGGCGTGTTTCGACCAGCACAGAATATGAATCACAATTTATCAGTATGGGACACTTTTTTTACAACTGCTACCTGATGTATTATATCTCACATGAACCCATAAAAAAATATATCACCTTCATGAGTCAATGATGCACTTAATTCAGGAGGCAGTAGATGTGTTTAAAACGTGTTCATTTCGCAGACGTTATTATTAATCTTCAGTTCCTTGCCTTTACATCCTGACATATGGTAATGATTCGACTGAATGGTATTAAAAGATTTATCATAATTTTCTTCTTGACATCATAACAATTGTATATTTAAAACAAGTTTCTGCTTAATTCAAACTGTCTTAAGCAGACTCTCACCTCATCTTGTTGTATAAGCTTGTTCCTGTCTTGCCAAGTGATGTACTTTACTCCTCTCAGTCTGGCCAAATCTGAGTAGCAGCTCTCATCTTCACAGTTATATCTTAAATGTATCAAAATATTTTTCATTATATCGAGACACGAGATACTGCTAAAACGCATTTACAGAAATCAGAAATCACTTCAGTCTTTGAACAACAAATAATATACAAGTTGAAACAAACTTAGAACGCATGCGCATATTATACGATACAAACGATAACTTTCATTGCCTCAAAACCGATGTAAAAATGAAGGAACGAGGAGAATCGGGCAGAACTAAAAACTTAGGAGAGTTGTATCTGCAAAACAAACATGTTAACTTCTGGCATATTGTGGAGAAAAAATAATCAGATGAAAAGTTCCCATTCATGCATACAGCCGCGTTTCTTTAAAAGTAATCTCAACAAAGCGATATTAACAGTACTGATTCTGCACTGAAACTTACAATTCAAACAGCACAGCCCAATCAGGTAAGAACATCAAATGTGACAAGCCAGCTCCATGAATTCCAATGAAAATATCAGAGTTATATGTAATTTCTAACTGTTTCTTGAAGTCAATATCCCTATTGTAGACGACCTGTTAGGAAAATTCATATTATAAATCTTCAACTATAACCAACCCTTCACCAGGTCTTAATCTAATATGTAAGAGAACCACTGAAGACAATTTAAAATAAAAAGAAAATGTCATATACAATAAAATAACAATAATCATATTGAAGATTTCTGTCTTCTGAGTTGTTGCGCTGTGTAGTCTGGTCGATGTTTACCAACGTTTCGGAGGTCATACTGCCTCCGTCATCAGAGTATGAAGATTTCTGTCTTCTGGGTTGTTGCGCTGTGTAGTCTGGTCGATGTTTACCAACGTTTCGGAGGTCATACTGCCTCCGTCATCAGAGTATGAAGATTTCTGTCTTCTGGGTTGTTGCGCTGTGTAGTCTGGTCGATGTTTACCAACGTTTAAGAGGTCATACTGCCTCCGTCATCATGGTAGTGAGTCCGAAGACGGCTGATTTTGATCTACAGCATCTTTATGCACGTTGGGCTGCAGATGCAATGTACTACTGTTGAAAAGTTTATAGACCATGTCTCAGTCTATACACATGTTGCATATAGAAGTTTAACACAGAAATGTACATGACTTCAAGATATCACTATGTTTTATACATCACTGTGTAGATTTATGATTCCCACCTTCAATTTATAACTGATCCATTTTATATTACTACTGTAGAAAGTTTTCTTAAGGAGTTAAAGTTTCCTCTGCCGTTCATAATTTTCAACAGCAATATTCATATTTAATAAGCAATACAATATAATTAAAGCACCAATTTATGAAGAAAATTAACAAGGACATTCTTACCCTTTTAACAACATAATCTGGGTTCTCATGTAAACCTTCAATGAGTTCCTTTTCATTCAAAATTCTCCTGTATGCAGTATCCCGGGACAGTAACGTAACATGAATTTTTTTATCTGAACGTTTATGTAGAGGAATTTTTAATCGATGAAGAGTATGTCTTGAGAATGCGTGGAAGAGACCACTTTTCTCACATCCCCAGATCTGTAAAGAGGAATATAACATTTGTGCTCAAATATAAGACATTAATTACAAATAAAAATGTCGCTCATGAATGCTTTCAGTTCAACTATAATAATTATAAAGGTATTTATAACGACAGAGTGCAGCAAGTTTTCACGCTTTCATCGCACATGAAGAACGCAATGCACTTGTGATCATGCAGTTAATAATTTTCATGTCAACATTAAGAAATTATTTCTCAAAGAAACTGATTATCTTGAAAAAAAAGAAACAAGACATTTCTGAGTAAATTTAAGGTGTTGCAGATACGTAGAAACTTTATTCTAATATCAGCTGTACATTCTGCCAGAAAATTCTGAAGAAACAAAAGGTATTAACTTCAGGCCTGCTTCTAATCCAGCCGTGCGTCAAAACTCCTCAAGTTTTCATTCAGTACGTTCAGCAGAGACCCAGTTCTCAAGAAATTATTGTGTTAAAGTCATTAATTTTAAAGATTCAGTTCAGGTTTTGGCAAAGTACGCAGTTTGGTTCAGTTCAAAACCCTAATTATACATAACACATGACATACTAAATAAAACTTGATTACTCACAATAGGCGTATTATAGTAAAGGCCAAAAATCATCCTTGGGAGTAGTGGAAGCACGACGTTCCGGAAGCACACGGTCTCTCCGCGAAATGTCTTGAGGTCCCACACGGGATGCGACGTAAAAGCCTCCCACGCTGCTCCAAAACTGGACTGGTACGTGTAAGTTTCCCATATTAAGATGTGAACATCAGTTGAAAAAGTGCTTGGATGTGAAGAGTTGACGTGCAGTGATGCATATAAGTTAAAAAAATCACAGAAATGGTGGTACATGTTGACTGCTGCAACCAAAAGGAGGTTTTAACTTTGCCACTTCAACGATTAGTTCAACTCTTTATTCTTCATAAGACAGGCAGAGATGCATTTTCTAATACGAGGCGCGTCCCAAAAGTAAGTTTTCCACTCGTCCCACAGCTAGCAAACCTTATATTGAGCGAAGCGACTGTGCGTACGTGATAGAGCAATGACGTAGCATGGCACATGCACTAACGGCACCTCCCGCGTTCTCACAGTAGCATCGTTGCAGCTGTTGAAGATGGAGGTTCTTATTCCAGCTCCCGCCGACTGTGAAGTGCGGTCAGTGATAACGCTAGGCCGCACACGGCTCGACGGACAGCAAGTCTCCTGCAGGAGTTCAGCTGGGAGGTGTTTAATCATTCACCCTACAGCCCGGACCTCGCTCCCAGTGATTTCCATCTTTTCCTACACCTCAAGAAATTCCTGTCCGGTCAGCGTCAGCGTCAGCGTTTTGAGAATGAAAGAGAGGCGGAGATGGTTGTCACACAGTGGTTCCAATCCCAGGCGGCAGACTTCTACGACACAGGTATTCAAAAGTTGGTCCCACGGTATGACAAATGTCTCAATTCCGGTGGCGAATATGTTGAAAAATAGCTGGACACTTGCTGTATCTGTTGCAATAAATATTTCCATGAAATTGTGTTTTGTTTCTGTAAACGGCCCCAGGGAAACTTACTTTAAGGACGAGCCTCGTACTAGAACAACCTGGATGATACTCAATAATTTTGTTGGCATATGGAGTCAGCCCCACAAGAAGAACGTTGGATAAAATTTTGTAGGCACACGATAAGAGGTTGATTCCTTGATAATTATTGCAGTGAATGATGTGAATTAATAGAAGAATTAAACATTACTGTGAAAATAAAAGGATAAGTATTACGTATTATGCCTTGCGTGATTAAACATTAAAATATTTTACATAAGTTAAGCAACACACACTGAAATTACCTGTCACAAACAGATTGAATATTAATGTGAAGAAAGCGTCAACTCAATAGCAAGTGGCCGTGAGGATAGGAGGCAGAAGAAACTGTGTCATGGTAGCGTCACACAGGTCCAAGCGTTGTTTTTAAATATACTACAGTTCCACTTACTTGCATCGATTTTTAATATGAAAGTAGGTTTTTCAATCACGATATCACAGTCTTTCTCTATAATTGGTCGCCTCGGTAATTCAGTAAAATAACGTAACTCAGGTCCCCACGACTGCAATGGGCTGATTTGATCACATTCATTTTCCAATCTGGATTTATGTAACCTGTCCATAAACACAAAACAGTGAGAACAGAACATATACATATTTGGGTACTTGCTGGTTATCGGGACACAAAAACGGGAGAGTCGAATATCTGGACTTGGATTGGACGGAAAAATGCGAATGCGTATCAGTATACCCGTATACTCGGTTGCTGTTGTCGTCTGTTATTTCGTTCAGTTATTTATTGCTGTTCGGTACCATGTTAAAAATTTGGGATTTACCTAACAGTGAGATAGATCAACAATTAACATCTCATGCATATCCAAATAAAATATAATAATTTGTCATTTATTGAAATAAAATATATTAACTTTCAAGTATATGTCATTTATCCACACACACTAACCTAACCTAAGCTAACAGAACCTAACCTAACCTAACCTATTTTTAAAGTGATGTATCCCAATAACCCACAAGTACCCATATTTGTCTTAGGCAAGACATTTAATAACAGTGAAGAATTATTTTGAACATTTTTTGTTTATTATTTTCATTAATTGTATGTTCAGTTGTCAGAGCAGAAACAATGTTGAAGTGACTGATTTCTCTAGAAGTAATATCATGGCATTTGCATGGAGACTAAGAAATGTAAGAACAGACAAATTAATCCAAATGACAAGGTAACAAACTGACATAACCTATATGGCAGTCTTAGCGTGACCTTGAACAACACTTTTTAAATCAACAGACTTCATGACATGTAAGATATTTTAATGGGTATTCACACTTTCTAAATCAAGACAATCTCTCAGTTGAACACTCAGCAAGATTCATCAAAAAGTTTATTTAAAGTCTTAACTAATGCTAGCCCTCAAAAGAGACACGCAAATGACACTTACATACAGAAATATTCATGTAACAGGCATGCCACATTTTAAGTTAAAGTAATAAGAAATATAACATAACATTTCAGTCAATGAACGATAAAATAAAATGATACAAACTAAACCAATATCTAAATGACTAACAAAATTTAATGTATGTTCACCACAAGTTCTTTTCTCCACACCAGCCAGTAATTTATATGCTTTTAACTGATGGCAGCAGATATACATACATGACGAAAACAACACAAGGGTCAATGACAGTCATCATTGAAATACAAATTCATATACAAGGCGGACATATCAAGTGCTAAATATGCTTATATAATACATGAAATGTGCCTCATGGATGCTTGAAACAAATCTCTTTTAAAATAGCCACTTTCATCATCTCGACACTACATAGATGAGCTACTGAAAAAGCAGTTAAATAAATAAATAAATTATCAATATCATGCATTTCCTTTTGACTTGCCAGATACAACACTTCAAGTAGCACAAACTTCTACGAAGCCACAACTGATCCAAAATCCACAGAAGAGTGTACAAATCACCCCCACATAATTAAATTTTTACAGCTCACCGACAATATCCTCCAAATTGACCTTCTTTCAGAATATCCATCTTATATCGCAACTGTTCCTTGCGAGAGGATAAATCTGTAAAATTTAACATGAGATTGCGGCCTCTACAAAACCTTAGATGTTTCGTGCATTCAAGAGATGAATCTTCCTGAAAAATAAGTAATAAGCAATTATTATATACTTTTATTCCTAGAATGTGCATTTTAATATAACGACACACGAGAAATAAGCCACAGAAATTAATATTATGAACAATTCACATTCTATAAAAAAAAAATTCACGTTAAGTACCATAAATGTAGGTTCACACATAACCATCATTTCTTGTAGTTGCTCCCGTACATAACCAAAATCTCCCTGAGTATAGAAAGTATTAAGCTGATCTTGTTTTGTCTTAACCCAACCTTTATGATCTCCAGGACATGAGGGTATGGAATATGAGTCCTGGAATTTACATCCTTGCTCATAACCCCAACAAACCTTTTGATTAAGTTTATCCTGTAACAGAAAACCTGTGTTAACAATTTTGCCACCAAATAACAGTTCATCCTAAATATATTTCATTTTAAATTATTACAAAAATGAACTTTCTAACCACATATTTATCATAGGCATATCAGTTGATCTATTATTGACTCAACTACATATTCACCATTATTTAATTTATTAACAGTTTCATAAAATTAAAATTATATTAATTACAATAGATACAAACTTCATAAATACAGAAATATGATTCAATATATCTTGGATCAATACTTACTTTATATGGACATGTTGGATCTACTTTACATTTCTCAGCTATTTCTGGATAACTATTAAAGTAGTATGAAATATGTTCCTTGGGTAGATTTATCTCAGTGAAATTATACGCAAGTCCCCACTGACGATTCACAATGATCAAACACAGACAAAGTTTTGTTAGAACAGCAAATTGGTATTCTTCTACTACAAACATGCCTAAAAAATGAACGTTCTAAATTAAAACAAGGTAATTAGAATTTTATAAGTGACAACACTACAACAAAAGTAAACTAATGGAATTAAATGATATCCAACAAATATAAATCAATGAATTTATAGAGTTACACATGCACATGTGCACAAAGGCAAAATTCATTAAAAGAGATTATATTATCTTATGACAACAAGTTTTCAATTTAAAATGAGCTTCACATATGTAAATAATTACATTTTAGAAAAAAAAATTAGTTTCATATTTATCTTTACATAAAAAAAATCATGATCTCTTCATATCTTCCATCTTGATCATAGATGTTACCTCTCCTTATGCCCAAGCACTATCATCACCTTGTGCTTATGTACAAAAGGCATGGAAGCAAACATAATATTAAATTCTAATTGCCTGTATTTTTAACAGCAGCATGAAGGGTGATGCAATAAAGTATGGTTAGGTGCAGTTTTGCAGGCTACACCAACAGTTTAAATACAAAATATCAATGGCACTCAGATATGTAAATAAGATATAATCAAATTTGTATTTCTCCATATAGGAAATGTAGCATTCAGAATGAATGATTAACCTGTTTGTTGCTCCAGTTATAATAACTTACAGTGTAAAAAGTCACATTCAATTACATACAGTATATGCTTTTCATTCCTGTAAAATAAATTTAAAACGGGACCACACAACACAATAGAGGTCTGAAAGCAGTTACTGGCCTTACAAAAAACGGAGAAGGAAGTGTTAAGAGTATAAACTACTACAGTCCTCTAGATATTTATATGGACACGGAAAACAATTCAAAATAATTTTCCGTATGATACAGAATTTCACGATCCAAAATATAAATGTGGACAGCGAAAGTTAAAGAAAAATATGGCTGTCTTCTAGGTTGCAGCAGTCTGGTAGAAGTTTACCACTCCCTGATGATGGAGGCAGCAAGGACCACTGAAACGTTGGTAAATTTCTACCAAACTACACAATACTATAACCTAGAAAACAGCCCTCTTCGTACTCACCGCCGTGATAACATCAACTCTTTCTAGGTTAAAAATGTCCAAACCAACCAAGAATAATAGAATAATAAGAAACTGCTTATAGGAAGGACACTTGTTGACTGTTAACATACTAAACATTAATTCTTCACTTGGCTGAAACAATTACTCGTTTACAACATATAAGAAGCATACTGACAGCCATACACAAACCATTCACTCTACACAGCGAAGCAACTTATCGCACATGTTAACACAGTCGACATCGAAAATGATCTTTGGTGATTGCGATCATTATCGACCATCGACTAAGGTCGATTCATTAATCAGTGATGTATCAATTTTGTCCGTACGGTATTCACATTAAAACATCGTCAGATGTATTTTGAACAGAACCATTTACATACATACAGTGCATTTCACCTGAAGAAACAGCTGCATCAACATTTAAGAAATATTTTCTGAAGAGAGAGAGAGAAAAAATGTAGCCTGCAATTCCTGGCCAGGTCAATGGTGTCCATCACCTATTGTAATCCAGTTACTGATGAATACATGACACAGCCTAACGTTTTCAACTGCTACAAGTGAACTTGTAGCGGTATCAGATAACAAATCAACTGCAGAATAAATGTTTGATCCAAGTATTGCCTTGCATTTCCAAAATAATTGTTTCAAATTATAGAAATAAATAAAACACTCTAGCAAGCAATCTTTATTTTCACACCTGAAACACCATCAAATGCTCCTTTGGTGTTACTGTTTCAATCCAACCGGCGTGGCACTTTTGTTAATAATTCTGCTATAGACAGATTTAACAGATGTGAGCCACGTATTAAAACTTTGAAGCTGAGCTTTTCTGAATAAAATTCAGTTCCTATTTCAAACAAAATACAACGTATCTCAAGTACAAAGTTCAATTGTTTAATGCTGTTAAGGGGAATAATCCTCCTTTATTCTGATAATTAAACGACGAGCTGTAAGTATAATGTGGCAAAACGCAAAGTTACTGATTATTAAAAAGGGTGATCTTGCATATTGCATAACTTTATGGGGCACAGAAAGACGAATGCTTTTTAAGACATGCACAGTTTAATAATGTCTCGAGTCTTTAATTAGAAACTGGTAAACAAAAATGTTTCTAATGCTGCTGAAAACGCAAGCAGTTCTGTTGTTTTCACGACTTGCAAGGGCATTATCACGATGTACAAACGACGGCGAAGCAGTGATCAGCAATTTCCGGTAAATGCAACTTCCGGTTGAAAAGGAAATTTTATCCGTTCCAAAGCGACAATTCCTGAATGAAATTATTTTGCTTTTTTACTTATCGCTATGGAATGTAATGCTAACCAGCAAGATTTTGAGCTGACATGACGATGTTGTGTTATATTCGCAGAATTAGCAAGTTTCTCGACGATCTGTTATATAAAAAAACAACAGAATCCTACACCAAGTGTCGTTCTCATCTTACAAACAATCACGGGTGCCAAGTTGATATTATTCCTGGTAGTAAACTCGAATAAAGAGAGTTAGGAAGGCTAAAGGAGGCATGATTTCGGGAGAATTCGTCATTTATTTTAAGGACAGACGAGCATTACGATGATACCATAATGAGGGCTGTGGAATGACAATAAAAACGTTAAATTTAAATTAATATTTGAAAGAAACAGGCTGTTTGTCACATCAACAATAACAAATTCAGTTCAAATTAATTATATTCTGCTATAGACTTTTACCGTTGAAATTATTCGATTGAGTTCAATGCAATAATATGAATTCTAAGCAGTTTTACCAGTTATTTACGTAAAGGCGTCATATTTATTGAGGGCTCGACTCGAAACTGGGCGTGGTTCAAAGCGCCTACAACTTCAACATTCGATACGAATCTGCAACTTCTCATTTGGTATTTGATATTTCAAAGTCAAGAGTCGTCTTTATAGTCATCAGATCGTCATAATATCATCTACTATAAATTATCCTGCTTAATTATACATTTCAAAATACTACAAGCGCAGTCTGTGTTTTCATTTTCTATGCTATCAGAAACAGGAACACGGATAACATGAAATGAAAGTTAAATTTTAAAAATGGATACACAACAAAAAATAAATTAAATTTCTACGACCTGTACTCAATATTATAAGATTATATAACCAACGAGGTGCTAATATCAGAAGAAAGAGTCATTAAATGAACACGAACACAAACATTTTGATAAAAAATAAGAATTTTAACGACGTCTAACTATGTCCTTGTTGCTGTCTTGTCCAGTGCCAACTGATGTGTGGACCTGTAGTGTGTTAAGATCCACAAACAAATACGCTCACGAGGAGCAGTGCCCACTAGATACCGAGGCCTGCGTTGTGTTCTATAGCTGCCAGATGGCACGCAGAGCGAGCTGTTTCCTCTGCTAGGATCCCAAGTCCAGTCGATGCAAGTTTGTGATTACGCTGTTATTTGTGTGTGTGTAGGCTATACCAAGTTCCGTTGATATGTGACCACACACGCCTACTACATCGTGAAGAATGATTACGCTGTGGTACAAACGTTTACAATAATATTCCATCAACTCACTGTGCACACTTTCGTAATAAACTTTTTTACTTTCGTGTGAAGTTAGACAGTGTTTTGATCTTAGTTAACTTTATGTATTTGTGGAACGGACTTGAATATTAAAATGTGAAATATTGTTCGTCGAAGGGTGTCTCATCGTCATGTAAAGTCCATGTTACTTTTCAGTGTCCCACGTAACAAAACGTTTAGAATGTGACCACGATAACTCATGGATGATTTTATACATCTCTGAAGATTAACACATAGGGTGTTTTTGCATTGGTGCGGAGTCAACAAATTCTGCAGGTGAAGACAGCAGTCATATTTTATTAGTAAGTATTTAAATTAATTTTTGTTTGTACTGGATAATATTATAAGCTTATGCATGGCATATTTAAACTTTACTTCTATATAGCAGAAAGAAGTGTTTTATTAATTTATATTTTTAACGATTATCTAAATAGCTAAAATTCTGTGTGTTTTTGTTAAGTCGGCTTTGGAAATCATGATCTTCGATTTATTTTATCTGATAATGTTTTGTTAAGTCGGTTTTGGAAACCATGATCTTCGATTTATTTTATCTGATACTATCAGAGTGCTCGCAGTGAAATTCGACAAATGCTTACATTTCTTCTCAGTTTCTATTGATATAAAGCCAATCATAGGCCACATCATTCGATACGTATAGTTCAATATTATAGAAAAATATTATTATCCCAAAATTCCATCATATCCACCGAGATTCGAACCAAGGACAGTTGTCGGGTTCCTCTAACCACGTCGCCAAAACAATTTATAGTTTTTAGTTTTCGAGCTAAAGAAATGATCTTCCGCCCGGGTTTCAAACTAAGGACACTTTTTCGGAGTTTTTGCTTTGTACAATCTCTTCAAAGATTTCTGCATATCGATTTATTCGATCTCGACCTACAAGCGATAAAGCGATACCTCGAAAATCAAGTTGCCTAACTTACTCGTATATTCTGTTATTACAGGGCTGGAAACTGAATAGTAGTTTGGATTAGACCTGATTAAATTATTTCAATTAATATATTATTAAAACAATGCATACTTAACATTACAAATCTATTAGTACTTAAAAGTTCAAACGAGAGAGAGAAAACAGGTAGTGATATTCAACACAAACTTCTTTCTAGCCAGAAGTACATTAGAAGTCGCTATCTGTGGTAACAAGTGTATAATAATTTACGAACTGGCATCACTGGCTGAATATCAATGGCCTACTGCTATCAACTTCCAACACTGCGTCTTCAGTTTCATCAGGAAGTGAATTAACCACAACACAGATTTATTCCGAGCAGGGGCTGTAATCAGTCTTCACATCAGGCAGTAACAATTGAAAGATTGCGCCAGTATAGCCAACCTCGTGAACGCTGCGTGGCCATATTCAAAAACGAACGACCTGCCACCTGTCCGGACAATGTACCAACCACGGAGTGCTTGACGTATTGATTTTGTGTGACGTAAGAGCATGGGCCAATCACGAATTGATTGGAAATGTCGGTAAGTAAAAAAGAAGAGTCACACAAGAGTGAAATAAAGTCGACGTCACTGCAGATTCGAAAAGTATTGATTACGTACACGTAAATGGAGTAGAAACAGCGACTGATCTGGTGTTCTTACCACAGCTAGTAACACCTCCTGGTGGTCTAAACGGAACGAGACAGACGATGTCCACAAATGACAGTCGTGACTGAAAATGTTATTTGCTATTTTAATACTTGGTCTCTGACGTTAACGGGAGAAGAAGAGATATCGACGGTGTTTGAAAACAGGATGCTTAGGCGAATATCTGGACCTGTGAAAGATGAAGACATCGGAGGCTGCAGAGAAGCGAATAATAAGAAGATTAATAATTAGTACTCTCCATTAGATGCTATCAGGAACACCAAATTGAGGAGGCTGAGATGGACCGGACACGTAGAGCATGGGAAAAATGAGAAATGCTTTCAAATTTTGGTTTTAACAGGCAGAAGGAAATATATCATTTGGGTAGGAGAATAATATTAAAATGGATCTTAGGGTAATCGGGTTTCGGAGTGTGGATTGGACTCATCTGGCTCAGGATAGGGACCAGTGGCAAGCTCTTGTGAACATTGTAATGAACATCTGGGTTCCTTAAAATGTGGGAGAACTTCGTGAGCCTACAATTGCGTTTTTAAAAGAGGGCTCTGCTCCATGGAGGTGGTCGTAGATCGGAAAGGCGTATTCATTTGAATACGTGTATTTCACAAATTAAATTTTTGTATATTTTAGAGTAATTTACAGACCTTAGTTTACTTAAAATAAAAGTATAAGCTACTGTGGAAAGCTGATTAAAAAAGAAAAGTGTGAGACAACTTACACTTTCTTGTATTTTCATAAGTATGGAAATCTTTGATAACGTTTCAGATCTGCACAATTAAACCGATTTGCATCAAACTTGGCATACGTAATCCTTGATACCAGGGAAAGAACAGTGAACGTAAAAGTGTCCTAAGTTCGATTCCTTACGAGAGTGGTTCAGCACGATAGAAGAATGGGACCAAAAGAGAAGTCTTTTGTTTTCAAGAGAAATTTACATAACCCCGGATACATGTTTTCGGTTCGAATCCCGATAAAGTTGTTTTCAGTAGCTCGGAAACCAATCGCGGAAGAACGGCGCAAAGAACAGTATTTATCGTTCCAGCGATATCAAGGAAACTAATGTCACGAACCCAGAAACTGCCCTTGGTTCGAGTCTCGATGCAGACGTGTTTTGGGATAATTTATAAATGAATATTTTTTTTTCTCTTTCAGGGGGGATTCTCCCCCGGGAAAGCGAAGATATTCGTTTTATCTGATAATATTTCTGCATTAGAAACTTCCTGCTGTCTTGTACCGCATAGGAGTGTAAAATCTTCTTTGTTAAGTCGTCCTCATTTCTATAAATTACAATTTGCACATCTGCGAAAGATTTTTGCCTATCTTTAGATCTCGCCACATTCTACAATATCGAGATATCTTTCGTATAAACATAAGTAAGGGAAAATGGGAGTGACCACCCTTATATTTCCCCTATTTTTTTTTTCTTATGGGGGCAGTTGAGTTTCAGTAACTTACATTCTACCAGGACGTCATGTTACCCTCCCTTAAAATAACACCTTCACTCATATTTAGAACGAAGATAATTAAAACTGCACTTTGCTTATGGCGATTAAATCTTACTGTGTTATCGGTGATCCAGTATCAATCAATCAATAGTCTGACCTACTTACATATTATTAACGATCATATTCCAAGCTGCATGTCAAACGTTGGAATTCATCTTTCGTATTCAGGAGGTACCTGCTTCGAATCTCAACGCGATCATTCCTTCGCAATGTTCCTCAGTATTTCTACGCAAATGTTCAGTTACGATCTTAAAATTAGCCACGGCCGACTCAATCCATGCTTTTCATATTATCCCACATAATGCGTCCATATTTGAGATCTTGT